ATATACATAATTTTTAATGTTAGTAATGTATTAAATATAATTATGTAATATAACATCGCAAATGTAGAAATAAATATTATTTAGTGAATAAAACACTCAAATTTCAATAAAACATTCTAACACCATAAATAAAATACTAAATCACGTATTCTGTGTAAATTTAAAAATTCAAAAATCATTTATTTTAAGAATTTCTAAAAGATAACAAAAATCGATTTATTCAAAATCATATTTTTCATCATTTTTTTTATAGGTTATTTGGCTACGCATTTATCGCTAATGTCCTCATAAAAGTTTCAATCAAATAAAATGTTCTTCTAAAAATTGTTAATAATTTACCAATTGGAACAATCTCCTAAAAAAATACCTAGTCAAAAAGTTGTTCATAAAAAAAAAATTTTAAAAAAAATCATTTTTAAACTAATTATAGTTATTTGGTTAGATCTAAGTTTTGAGTGTTGTTTTCGTCTTCCATAATATGTTTTTTGTTTAAGAGCTGATGGAAAATGTCTATGAGGTATTCGATTATTGGTTAATAATAAGTTGTGTATAAAGTATAAGGGGGGGGAGGTTACTTATTGTATATATAATATTATTCATATTACACACAATGTGTAAGTGGATGTGTCGCCAAGCATTTTCTGCGTATACACATATTATTATAAAATGATAACATCATTAAAATATTATGTTATTCCGCTCGAAAGTTTATTATACTCATGACGTATTTGTGAGTTTTTTTAATTTTTTAAGCAATTTTTAAACTTACTCCACATATATAATATTAATGTCTCCGTTCATTGCGCTATTCTAATTCGTCCACTATATTTAAATGTTGACACCATTAACAACACAGAATAGTTTACTTCATTATTTAGTGGGCAAAAAGGTTGTAATTGTAATCGAGTAATATCACTTGGATTCACGCATTTTTTTTTTTTTGTGTGTGTGAAATATGATGCTGATGAAATAATTTAATCTGCAGACATTTTATCATTTATTTCCGGACTCGACGTGTCTTGGTACCGAAACAGTAATAACTGCAATATTTTTTAGCCCGCTTTTGATTTATGATAATTAATAGTATGTTTTCATCTCTAAACTTGCGTAACGGACGAGTTATTTAATTAATTAAATACATATTATAAGTTGTAAACCCTTAAGTACAGATGCACAATTTATCGAACAAAATCATTTTTAATAATATTTTATACAAATACGCATCAACATAGGTTTATTAATATTAATTAAATGTCATTGTGTACAATAAACGATGTACAGTCTAATCTTTACGTGTTAATATTATATAGACCAAAATAGAGCAAAAATATGTATTAAGTGTCTCGGGGTCTAAAAGCGTTTGTGGACGTTCGCCAAAACGTTATTATCGAGGCAAGCTCTCGAGCAGGTATTAGCAGAATATGGGTGGTGAGGCATTTACACGCTATCGCCAGAGTTATATATGTGGAGGACGGGTGGAACGGGTGTTGTCTGGATTGGTACTCCTCTCCGACACTAACTTGTACAACACGATATATACGTAATGTGGCATGGCATTAATTTGTTTTATTTTGCGCGCGGCCCAAATTCAGGAAGCTAAGGACATACTGTGCCAAGAAGCCAGGCAGCTGGTGACGTCCTCGAAGATCCTGATACGGTGCTACATGAACCCGAAAAGCGCCGAATTCCAGACGAACTTGTCACAGTGCGTGACGCAACTGCGCCGGATGACCGTGCTCAGCGGCAACATGACCAGGCACACATCGTCGCCGCTGCAGACCCGCAACCTCATACTCAAGGTGGCCGACGTGCTGCGCACGTTCCACGGCCTGTTAGTGGACACAGACGTGTGCACAGAAACGCTCACCAGACACGCCGAAGGGCTGGCCAATGTGTTAGCGAAACTGTTGCGCAGCCTCCGGGTGTTCTCGCCATGACGACGAATATCGGTCGAGTCCGCGGGTCCCGACTAGGTGTCGGCGAGCGTCGACCGACGTGTTCCGTTGGCAGAAAACCAACCGGAAAACGGAAGAGGAAATAAAACCTATCGATTTATTTTTAATGTACAAATAATTATTAGGTAAGAGTGTATAGGACGAAGCCTCAAGTTTGTTTGTTTTGTTTTATCATTATTATTATTATTATTTTTTTTTTTTTTTAACGTTAAGTCGGAGCCAAAAAATCGTTTTAATTACGATATATAATATTATAATGTTAAATATATTATTATTAACAATATTATATAGGTTACGTATTAGGTGAAATAGCGCGAAATATTATTATATTATTATATAATAATATGATCGTCGTACATGTGCCCAATTTACGATGACGAAATTACATAGTCATTCGTCGTTATCTCCTCTGTACTGTCGATCGTTACATCGAACAATAAATATGTACACAAAATGTGTATTTATGCACGCTCAATCCGTTCGTTGGATTTCCAAGACCAATTATAATTTCATGAAATAGGGCATCCGGGATCGCGGTACCGTCGTTTCGGGTAAGTCGCCCGTGTTAAACAACACAATATCGTCGTACCCGTCGAGAATTATTAGTAACTACGTGTTTTTATTATTATAATTATTGTTTTTATTGTTTCTTTTTTTATTATTATTATTATTATTATCATTATTATAAGGTTGTAGCGTTAAATCTAGTCAAATTTTAGAAAATAATTCGATATGTTCGTTTTTTGAATATACGCATTATAATACGATTTGTAAGTAACGCAAAGAAGATTGTTTCATAAAAATAAAAAAAGTCTAGTTTTTATCCCACGTTTAATAAATGGCATGTCAATTAATCAAAATATTCAATATTTTCGCAGTGCACTTAATAATATTATACCATACGGAAATAGTTCGATTTCACGTGAAAAAAATATTATGATATATTATGTTATAGTAATAATAATATATGATATATACTATTATAGACTTAGTAATATTAATAAAATTAATTGGGTTTTTTTTCTTTTAATACCAACGTTGTTAATTTTCCATTCCATAATATTATTATGACTATAATTTATTTTGTTATTTATTATTTCAATGCGTCACGCAATGTACTATCTAGTATCAATTTTTTAACTGTATAATATACATATTTACTTATTATTTATAATTTCAGTTAGTAGAACATATTTTTTTTAATTTTTTTTTAATTGACTTAGTGTTTTCAACCTTTATCATAATATCTCATGAACTGTATAGATTTGTATTTGTTTATTATATTATTATTATTTCCAAAACAGACATTTTTTTTATGTATTTTCATATTTTACCGAAAAACAAAATTGTAAAATGTTTAATTAAAAACAAATTTTTGATGAAGAATAATATATGATAATAAAACATAAAATCTGATTAATTATTATTTTATTTGTTTTATTACGATACAGTATTACAACAATTCACAATGTTAACAACACACACTACAGCTGATGACCATTATATAAATTAAATGTCAATAATACCAACCATAATAAAATTAATCCATACACAGAAAAAAATAAACTCACTTGCATAATTTGTAACGAATTATCTTTGTGCACGTGTTTATTTTGTCCATTTGTATAATAATAATACAATTTGTCAGTATAATCAGTATAATATAATAACAATTATACGTTCAATAGCCACTGTATTAATATTGTATTGAGTGTCTCTATACCTTATGCAAACAAAATATAATCAAAATCGTTGTAATATTTTATGATCAATGTGAAAAAATGCATTTTGATCATTCGACGACTCTGTGATTATCAAACACTCAAACGTTCCTACATTTCCACCTGCACACTGGTCGCTGGTAAATGGTAATAATAAAAAAATGGATTTTTTTCATATAGATTTTTTATAGCCTATTCATTATTATTATTAACAATCGACTGATTATATTATTTTATTTGGTAATAATAGTATTGTTGTTTAAACCAAACAAAATTAAATCGATCAGACACAGACATAATTTTATAGCGGCTTCAAAATCAATAAGCAACCGGAACAATAATAATGTACGTATATTATTAATTTATTTCAACATAAACATCTCATGTTAACGCAGTTTGCTTGGTCCTTTTACCTATTATGAATATTATAGTTATCATACGACCACCACGATTGTTAAACAAAAATTTAATCTTATAAATCGTTTTGCTATCTAAACAATGAATAACGTCTTTTATTCATTGTCGTCGTATCCCCACACGAAAGTCCTAGAAAAGTTTTTGCACACGAATAGTTAGTCGATTAATGTTTGAATTAATCGTTGAACAGTATTTTTGGTGTTCACATAATTATTTTATTCCAAAACTAATCCTTTGGTCAACAATTTTAAATATGTATTATATATGCGTTCAAATGTTATTCTAACACCATTCCACAGCTCTTTTTTCGATTTCTCATGGTTCTTATTATTGCACCTTATTGTTAACTTTTAATAAACTCTGGATATGATTTGCGTCTGCGTTGTATCCCTTTGCCCATTCAACACAATATAATTATTACAATAATGACAATAGCACTATAACAATAATATCTTAAATGGTGTCTTCCGATCTGGTGGGAATTGATGGGATGGGAATTTTCAGGTCGACACGGGTTTTTCGCCGAAACGATTTCCTATCGAAAATTTGAAAATGACAATAGATATACCAACCATTATTCTACTATAGCTAGAGATACTGCAGTGGTGTCCGGCCCAGCCTGCAAAAAAAAAACTTATTATTCCAGTCAAAAAATTTTAATCATCTATACTAAAACGTGCACGGCATACATACGTATTGTTTGTATACATAATGCACCGTCTCCGTCAGTCTTAACGAGACCCGTCGGTCCCGCGTAGGGTTGGTTTGGGGGTGTTCGGAGAGGGGAGTTTGGAGTTTTGAAACATGTTCGGTCTACCTAGACATGAACCTACATATAAGTGTATAACAAATCTCGACCGATACGACCAATGACCATCACTGTTGTTCGCCGCTGGCGACGCCACTGCAGTCCCTTCTACTCTTCATGCTTCCTCATCTACTGTTGAAAGGTCCGATTGCCATTATTATTTGCAGCATATCGGTGGTGCTACACATTGCAGTAGTATTCCAGTGACGATCGATTTGATCGAACAGTGCTACGATCTTTAGGTATCTGCAACCCCCGGTCAACGGTCTACGCCGACGTGAACTACATACCACGTATATCCATTACATACAGACATTACAGTTCCATCTTTACTCCGATCGGTAAGTCTTATTACATCTTTTTATTTACTAGTGTACCATTGCGATATTTTCATTACGGCTTTATAATATTTTATGTATCAAATGGTTTCGCGTCGTCGATCTTCTCTGTGCCTTATGGAATGTCATATATGATATTAATTTATGAAAATTATATCTCCAATATGGTAAAATTTCTCGCAAAAACGCTCATTCAAATCATTTTATTAACGAGATTCAATATTATACGTACAAGCTTAAAATTGAAATATTATCATATTGGTAGCGTTTACTTTATATTATATAAATCATCAATCGTAGTGTAATGGTAACAGAGTAATGACCGAAAAAAAATATAAATGATCAACGTTTATAACGAATAACAATTATAAGTAAACTTTTAATACGGAATTTATAGATTTCAATAAATTATAGATATCAATTAAATGCGTTAATATAATTAATGTCGTATTTACAATCGATGTTAAAATAAATATAATTAGAATATGTGAGATTAACGCCACTAACTAGTCAGTGAACTTTATCGTATAATCTATAAAAAACTCAATGATTGTCTATAATTATATTTATTTTTATTAAATTATTAAAAAATATTTTTTTAGTTACTGTTAATTTTAAATTATAGATAATTTCGGCGATTGTAAACTGAGTCCAAAATACAGATAAACCCAAAATAACATATGTAAACTGCGCTCGAGTTTTTATCAAATGTAAAAAGGTGACATGCAAACTACGTCTGGGAAAAATTTTAAAAATCAATAGCTATATTTTTGAAAAATTATTTTTACTGTATATTTAATATTCATTATAAGTTATAATAAATATTAAATATTATATGGTTATAAATTATAACCATATAATATGAATAATTAAAATCAATATTAAATTAAGAATTAAAAAAATATATATGATTTTAAAAAGTAAAGTAATTACAAATATTACAAATAATAACATATTGTTGTTAGATATTCATCAATTGGAGTTTGACCACTATTATATTTAGTAATTAAATTTTGTAACTTTTCTCGTTTTTTTTTTTTTTTTTTTTTTTTTTTTTTTTTTTTTTTTTGTTTTAAAATTCAATAATTATTCAATAACGTGTTGGTATTTCTAGACAAAAATAAAATTTCTGTGATATAATTGAAAGAGTGCATGATCATAGAGAGTTTAAATGTTTAAAAAGTTAAAAGTTTTGTATATTTTACAAACAGGACACAGTTTAAGTTATTGGGCGCAGTTTATATTTTAACATAAATAACAATTCAGGCACAGTATACAAAAAAAAGTAATTTGAGCGCAGTTTACGTATGTCCGATAATTTAGTTCTAATAAATTTAACTGCAACTTAATCATATAATTGTTTACTGTATTTTAGTAAAAAAAAGAAAATAATATTTTTTCCATATCCTTTCGTTTTCACTCAAAAGTCAAATATGCTTAAAGTACATGCTGAAATTTTTTTTCATAAATATTTATTTTTATTTTTTATTGGGTATTATAGTTTAAAATAATTGTAATGAATATTATTCTGCCGCCATAGTACTATATTAAACTGCTGTATAATAATAATTGGTATTATCAGTAATAATACCGACAGTATATTAATAGTATATAAGCCACGATAGTATTAATTTAACATCCGCGGCTTTTTTAGCAAAAAAATAAATATAACATGATATATCTAAATAACACTTTATTTTATCTAATAGAAGTTACTTTTTAATTTTTTATTAATCGAATAACGTAACACATTATACATCTTCACGTTCAGCTAATGGTTGAATAATTATTTTTACTAGCGATGACATAACTCGAATATCTATACTTTTATTTAAGTCTGAGTGTAGAATTTTTTTTCACGAATGAATAAAAAATAATATTTGTTCATAATATGAAATGAACTATTGTATTTTTTTACATATTGTACCGTATAATATTAATAAATATAAACATTTTACTAGCCAAAAATTATTTCTCTCATTTATTACTTTTTGTAATCAGTTTTTAGAAATGTTTGCACCATATGCTACTTATGTTACGGACATGGGAACATGGCCACATATACACGAAAAAAAAGTTGAAAATCTATACACTTTATTATAATACTATGAACCTTACTGTATTAGGTAGTATAATAATACAATAAGTTGAATTAATTTATGCCGTATGAAATTGCAGTCATTGTGTGTATAAAATATAATAATAAATGTTAAAAGTTTCAAGTACCCGTAATATTTTATAAAATTACAACAATATAACTAAAATTATTATCCTTTATTTATATTAAATATCTAATTTCATCCAAATTTTAACTTAAAAATTATATAAAATAAGTGAGTATCTAAACTTAAATTGTTGGTATTAAAGTTTACTTTTAACCACTGCCTCACTCACAAAAATATCAACTATATCTAATTTTCTATTAGAAACCACCATGAGGGTAGACAATTTAAACATTTTTACCAAGCCAAAAATACGAAAAAAATAAAATCTAAAACAACCGATTTAGACAAGCGTAACGTATCTATCATTTATATACATATAATATATATATAATACGCATATAAAATATTATTTATCAAACATTTGTGACCGTTTCAGGGTAGAAAAAAAAGATTTAAAGTCGGATTTCGTCGTTCCGATCGTGGTTAAATATATCGTAAACATTGTCTCATAAATCATTCGGGAAATAAAAACAAATTGCCCATCACAATTTCCGGATTGCAGTATACCACGCGACGGTCGCCGATACGTATTTTCGTCTATGTATATATTATGTTATATATACTCGTATACATATGTACAACGAACATATATGTAAATTATTTATTTGCCGCGAACGCGATCCAATTGCTAACTCTGCAGTGACGACGACCCTAAGTTGTTAATTTTCCATTCCGACCAAACACAGCAGTTATTCGTATATACTATATACATATTGCATATTATATCATAATATACGAGTTGTGCTTTAGTCACTTGAGTGAAAATGGCAATTTATTGATTCCTTCGTTCTATCTACTCTCATGGATGACCTGGTAGCAGCCATTCTGTCTTAGCCCAGATACTATTAATATTGACGAAAGCTATAATAATACTTATTCAGTATTCATAGAATAAATTAATGCATATTCAAGCACGTATTATTATCACACTTTTTTAATTGATCATTGGTTACAACATTTCAAAAAAGTGTTATTGTTATGATATTTACAAAATAATATATGTTTACTACAACAACTGATCCACACTCGTGTAAAAAAATCTATTATTATATCATTATTATTATTGGGATTGATACATATAAGTAGTATAATGTCAGTTTTTATCGATATACAACATGTAAAGGTTCATGAATCATGAGTAATATTAAATAATTCAATTCGATTTTTCGGGGTAATTACTAATTTTATATTGTCTCCAATCGATACGCGACGGTGTCTGCAACCTCCAGACGTCGTTACAATTTTAACTAGAGGTTGAAATGGCTCAAAATAAGTGGAGGGATGCCTAAATTTTGTATTTTTCTTATAATATTTTGGTTTACACTCATGAGGGTGATTAGATGTGGAGATGAATTAAACCCCTATTAGTATCTAAAGTACCTATGTCCTACATAGATAATATTTGTATGTAACTATAAGAGGGATGTGTTATTTTAGACAAAATAAGTAGAGGGATGTAAGACATAAATAATTGCATATTAATATATATATATTATATTTAAATACATAATTTTAACACACGCAAAAATATTTAACATGCACTTCAGATTCCTCAGAGTAAAACATTTTCAGTGGCATATCGGTTAAAACTAAAACTTAAAATTATCAATACCGGGGAATTATTATATTCGTTTTATCATCGTTATACATCGAAACTCGAAACCCGCATACATTATTAAGTTTTATGGATGCAAGGTAGTAGAGATATACATAAAAACTATAATCAAATTTTCTGGAGTAAACACAATAATATGAAACACTACAGCCGACCAGAGTGGTGCGGTTTGCAAATATATAAACACAAAATTTGTGTGTTTAAATAGAAGCCGAATTATTTATTGAACACAATTATTATTTCAAACAATTATATGCATACGATAGGTAAGAGTGTACCTATATATTACAGAGACGGTCAAATATATACGTGCGGTGAACACGAACCAATGACATTTTTTCGAAATGCTTTATGGTTTTTTTTATCGGTCGATATATTTCTCTTCATTTTTCTCATTTATTTGTCGTCCATTCGAATAAACTTTTCACCAGATTAAATTCCCTTACGCACAACGTCAGTCAGTGACGAAATTGAGAGTGGGATTTCGGAAATATTAGTCCACCCATCTACTCCCCCGCCCACACACAACCACTAAAGACCACACAAATTATAAATGCACAAAAGACGCATGTCACACATTTTTGGTTTTCAATTTACATTTTATAATTAAACATTTTTATTTTTCATCATCATTATACGACGATATAAATATTACCTGAAACATTTTTCATTACTAGACCTCGCATACACAACCATCGTTTTATTTAAAATATTATTTTTATTTATGTTTATAGTTGCGATCGTATTTCAAATACCTATAATGTGTACATGAATATTAATTAATAATTTTATTTTAAAAAGACACACGATTTATTCAGCTTTTTTTATAATGATATGTTCATTGTAGTAACATTAATAACCAATTATTGTGCAATGACCCAGAGAGTTCGATGACATACGCCTGTGATCAACCGCTCATAAAAAAGCACAGAATAATTATAATGGACGTGTCAGAATTCCGAGATCGCTCTGCATTGATCAATCACGTTATCATCTAGTTGTATGCATAGCTCGTTGTCGAATAATTTCAACCTTGTGTACAATAATATAGTGATAGATTCGAAGTAGGTAGAAATATTTTTGAATTCTGGCAAAAGACACTCGGTGTCCTGAAAGAAAAAATCGAAAATATATGCCAAAATTGAAGTCGATAGTTTCCCACGTCAGTACGTTATTGACACTCAACCGGAGGACCACACGCAGACCGCGGTGACTGTCGTCCCATTGGATGCACGCTCTCACGCTTAAAGGGTTCCACCCGCCAATCGGAATTGATTGTACGACGAAGAGAACCCCACGCGATAGCAGTTTCATCTCTCAATAATTGTTGTATTTTTGCAAAACCGTAAATATTAACACATTTCGGCCGTGCTCACACCACCGCTTCAAACTTAATAGGCAACACGTTTATTTATTTAATGTCATCAAATCGTTCCACTCAGTTCAATAAGACTGTAATAACTATTTTGTTTTCGAATTGAAATTGTTGTAATTATAAACAAGTTTTTACATATATTATTTTGAATCGTATTGTGAACTCATAAACTGAACGATCAATAATATTATTATTAATTATTCATTTAATTTTAGTATAATATATAACTATCACAGAGACCACTGACCGCGGATTTTATAACGATTCAAACGCGTATTATAATTATTATATGACGGTTTATATTTGGACGAGTGACAATCTATTGTTCTTCGTCAAAAGTGCAACTGTCGTGTAAGGAATTTTTTCGATTTAATCTTAAAACGTAAGTTTTTGTTTTACAGCGGGTTTTATAACAACCATTCGCATCACATCCTACGAACTTGAACGACAAAAACAATGAGTGTGCCAATGGAATTGGACGATTCTGCCACAGAAGCGGCACCACTGGACTTGACCGTGAAGAAGGACAACGGCTGCGCTGTCTCGGCGGCAGCGCCGGTGGAACGTGATGGGCCAAAGGAATTAACGGGAGACGTACCGCCATCGCCACTACCGCCGCTGGATTTGAGTGCGGGGAGAACGTTATCGTCGCAGCCACCGCCGTCCGCGAATGTTGCTCAACGTGCCACCGTGGTGGTGCTATCGCCGAAGGTGGTCTCATCGTCGCCGAAGGTGATCTCATCGTCGCCGAAGGTGGTTGCATCGTCTCCACCACTGAAGCCGCAGCCGCAATGCAAAGCCTACTGGACGCCGGACTCGTCTTCCTCTTCGCAGATACCCAAACACTTGGCGCCGCTGCACGGGATATACGCCGACGCCGCCGCTTATCGGCACATGATCTCGTCCGCAGCTGTCCCCGAGTACAACCCGTTCCTGGCCGTACTTCCGCCGTCCGCCACCACGCAGTTCCACCATCACGATCACTTCCAACAGCAACAGCAGCACCTTCACATCCAGCAACAGCATCAGCTCCATCTCCAGCAGCAACTCCAACTGCAGCTGCAGATGCAGCAACAGCAACAACACCACCAGGAACAACAACAGAAGTTCCAGAAGCAACAACTTCAGCTGCAGGCCGCGTACAGCGTTCTTCCCCCGATAGACCCCGCGTTGTTGTTGTCCGGTAGCCCAGTGTACGCGGCCACGTCGTCGCCGTCCTCGTCCGAATCCAACCACTTTCCATTCAGCGGATTCGATTGCAGTTTTTCCAAGCCACCTTACGGTTTCGGGTATGTCGATCGTTCCACGTTATAATAATATATTTTATTTACACGACTCTACGGGAATAATTATATCTGTACAACACCGCTCTCAGCCGTCAAGAGCTGAGACGCGTTTGTTGTTTAGGACTTTAATTATCCACCTGTAGTACTATATTATTTTTCCGTTTGTTTATGTTCAACGATCGTGCATTAACTATATATTTTTATGCGCTTTTTGCAGTTACCCTTACTACGAGAGGATGCTGGACGGAAGAGTGACTGGTGGAGCTTATGGAGGCGTAGACATTTGCGCCAATCGGTCTGATTGTCCGTCGCCCGAATCGACGACTACCGACGACCATCATCACTTCAATCACCATCATCGTCTGCAACAACAGCAACAGCAGCAGCAGCGAGACCTGGACCGAGAGCATCGCCACATCATCAAGGAGTGTGACATGGACGACATGGACGACGTGGACCCCGAGGATGTGGCGGCCATATATAAACAGTCGGATTTCTTGTCATTCCGGAATCGGTACATAGAAAGCTTGGGGCCGCCGAGGAACTTCGAGAAAATGAGACGGTCTAACAACAACAACAACAATGATGATCATCGGTTGATGCCCGGACAACAGCAGTACGACCAGACGTACGTTATGAAGCGGCAGAAGAATAACGAAGCAGCCAAGCGGTCGCGGGACGCCAAACGGCAGAAGTACATCGAAAACCAGATTAGCGTCATGTACCTGACCAAGAAGGTGAGTGAGATGAAAGACATTAAGAGACGACTGCTCAAGTCTATGTGATGTTCGCTGAGTAGATGTACTATTATTAAAAATATGGGTAATTATAATATTAATAGTATAAGCTAGAAAACCATATTATATAATGTATACTTTCGATAACTGCAGATGCGATTTTTGAGTTTTCCATTTCGATTTTCAAACCATGTTTTGTAATCGCTGTTAATGTTATAAATTATGTGACTAAATATTTTTACTGTATTAACACTGCCCTGGATTTCAGTGTTGGACAAAAAAAAAAATCACCTATGGTAAAAGTTTATAAAGGTTGTATTATTTGTATTTTAAGTATATTAATTATTGAATTAGCCAATACCAATAAAACATACCTAAGTCATTAAAATATTATTTTATTTCACTGCGTAACTAGTGTTCTCATAGTTAAACTTTACTGTAACAACATTAATTGTTACTTATAAAATGTTAATATTTTAATATTGGCAAATTCAATGAATATAAACTAATTACAATTTATTCATTTTAAATTTTAGTAGAAATCATTTTAGAAATTTTAGTACCGAATACTACTATATAGATTAACGGAAGTCGTACTTGTAAATATTATAGTAATATACCTACGCTTTGAAATAACATGTTGGAATGAGAATTTTTCACATGTGAAAAAACGGTTAAAGGCTGTTTACTGGTCCGTTTAAATAGATATTAACATCGATTTGAACTTTTTTGTATAACTCTGTAGACATAAAAAACTTTCGACACGCTACGGTCGCTAATAATATATGTAAAGTCATAAAGGCTTACGCGAGTGTAAGACGTCGATTTTTGTTTGTTTTTTTTTTTAGTTCTTACGGCGATATAGCGTGGTTCCTGTCTAGCGCCTTTTTACTATGATAATTTACATTTACCCAAACTTAAACTTTGGTTTGTTCTTTTAAATTGTTCGAAAAAAATATTTACTCCATAAAAAAAATAATCAAATTAATAACAAACATTTATTCCGTTCGAAAACGCCATCTCGAATAAAATTACCCCATAATTGTGTGTCTATAAACAAAAATGATTGTATACTAATATAAAATGTTTTGATTTGTATTAACTGATTTATATAAAAGCCAGGGGTGTTCGTCAAAACATCAGTTTCGGTCAAAAAATGTCTTGGAACAATAATAGGGTGGCAAGTGGTGTATAAGTATGATACAATGGTAAATTTTGTAAACTGTAATATATTACATAATACGTATTGTTATATTAAAATAAACAGAATAATAAGACTGATGTTTTGTCACACTATTTGGACGTATTATATTTTTTTTTTGCTATTTAGATTTTAAAATAAATGTCGCTATTTAAAAATTGATTACAATATTTATATATGTTTATCCACACATTTACTGTAATTGTATGGTTTTTTTTAAATTTAGTTGCAAATTTATTCTTAGATTATATATTACAATATAATTTTATTTCACATTTTATATTTTTATATCCTATATACTTATTTTATTTTATATATATTGTAATATTATACGCGTTTCTGAGCACTTTTTTAATTTTATACACTACATATATATATGCTGTTTTAAGATGTCAATTATTTGTATTTAATACATTTCTATTTTTTTCGTATAATGTATTTTCTGGTCCGAATAATATACATTGTATATATTAGTATTCCTTTATAATGAAAACTATTTCACGTCTTTTGTGTGAAAGGGTATTTTAAGACTGTACATTTCACCGATATTATATATAGTCAATATACTTCAGAGTCGTTAACGTTCTAAATTTCTGTTCAATTGTGTCTATTCGCTGCGAGGTATTTAACTGTATAGTGATAAATGTGCTCTTGACGACTTGACCATGCCCACGACTAAAATAGAGGTACCTACATAGGTATAATAGCGATGTACACTGTACATAGCAATAATAGTAATGATGGTCATCTAGAAACCTTTAACGATGTGCACACCATTATGCGTTATTAAAATTTCCGGTGCATCTATCCTGAATAAACAATATTGTACATACTTAACATTCAATGCTTTGAATCCCTGAATAGTTTTACACTATATTCAGTATAGTCCTGCAGACTGTCGACCTAATCACTTTTGTATTATATTGAAATTGTCATGGGTAGGTACGTATATTGTACAAAAAAAATTAATTCAGCTTGATTTCAGGTGGAAACGAACGCTTGTTTGCCTAAATTGAAATTTACAAATAGAATATTATTTTCTAAACTACCACAAATTATACAAACCACCTTTCCCACCTCTACTTAGTACCTACAGTATAATAATATTATGATAAGCATTTTTATACCATTTTATATTCTTAATATTGGGGTATAATGTATTTTTAGCGCACTTGAAATAGATACATTATACTTAATACTTATATTGTGTACTCATAGGATTCGGTAACGAAAACCATTTTAAACGATATAACCGTCATTACTGCTAAAATCTCGTGTACTATAATAAGTGGTTAAAACTTAAAACTGCTATATGATATATACAAATAATATATTTTTATTACAGTAACAAATTATAAAATAGTTATTTATTTTTTTTTTTATGAACTCATAAATCAAAAAATAATTTCAAAATTTCAAAAATTTCAAATGTCTTTAAATTACACAAAAAGACAATTAACATTATTTCAAAAATTATATTATTCCTAGAAAATGCTAAATTGCTAATTCAAAAAATATTTAAAGAAAAAAATTCAAAGTTTTTCAGTTCTTTATTCGTAAGTTACATAAAATAAACAAAATTGATTCGATGAAGAATTTTTTATTTTTATTAACCTTCTTTTTTTCAATTACTTTAAAAAAATAGAAATGGGAATTATAAATCTAATTTTCTTTCAAAAATTTCTCTTCTAATTGAAAAACGAAGATTGAAAAATGCTCCTTCAAGTGTCTTCAGATGCAAAAAAATACTAAAGCACAATGTAAAACAATACATTCATCGCTCCTCTTTGAATCTAAAATTTAAAATAAGAAATTTAAGTATACCTGATCAAAAAATTAATATGGTGACTGTAAAATTAATTCTGCTTGAACAATGATTTTCTTTAGCAATCTTTTTTCTCTCAGTCCGATACTTAAAGATACCATTTCAAATTCGATAATAATTAGCTATCCAATACGGTTATCTTTATTTTTCAAAATATTAGTCTAAAATAATTAAATATCATTGGTAATCACGGTTGGTAAGTTATTATTAATAGTTAATAGATGTATTAAATTTATATGAATAGTTATTATTTGTTCCCTTTGCTACTATCCACCCTCTCTCGTTCACTGAAGACAATAAATTTTCTCTGTCCGCGCATACCTTTATGTCTACAATACATAAATGATATTTACGTTGCAGAATAATTTTCGAAATCGCCCTCAGATGTGTTTAATATAATAATAATATGTACCTATAATACCTCCCTCTCCTACGACAATAGTCCCGTCGATCATAAATACACACAGACGCACACAATAATATATTATTATACATTTATATTGAAGCATTCAGTGCACGCACGGTCAGTCAAGTGCGTTAAAAACGGCAAATATTTTTCAGGCCAGGTCTTTTGTACGTGCGGACGAAGATGGATCTCATCACTCGAAATGGTTCGATCCCCGTCGACACGCTTTATCGTACGTGTACATCAAGAATAAATCATGAATATATTCGTGTGTGTCTTTTTGACGGAGGGTAGAGAGCTGTCGTTATTTTATTATTCAGCGAAATTCGGCGGCGGCGGCGATTTCGATCACAATGACTGCGATGACTGTGAAAAACGTGTATGGTATGTACCATAACGACCTGGTGCAAAATTATGATGGTTATCGTCGCGGTCTTTTTATGAGAATTCTGTGTTTTCGGCCCAAAGGTTTAATTTTCCTCGGTGGAGTATGAATAGAGGCATACACCACGAATGTATTATAATACTTATAAGCGTTGAGTATTGAATGGTTATGTACAGGTTTTATATAAGTTAAAAAAAATCAACATTGAAAATATTATATTTTATATACCTGCACGTTTAACGTACTGTTCATTCTTGCAATAAATGTTCGTTACGATTCCGTACAGGTTTCCACTGTTTTATCGACTTCAAGCAACTACAACAATTATACGCATTCCTGCAATACCATATTTTACAATACTACATTAGCAATACAAATAACGCACTGTGTAAATATTATAATACAATCAAATACGTATCGCGCAATAAATATTAATTTTGTAAATATCTGAAATAATTGCACGACTAACGCGTATTCATATAATAATAATTATACAACATATCACAGTATGATTTTGGTTTAACGTATATGAAAAGTCACTGATTTAAACCAAATGATTTGTGTACATCGCTTGGAATGAAATCATAAAGCGTTTATATATTATATGCGTATAATCATATTCATACATATACTAGCATATTACAACGTGTAAACTGTATGCGTTTGTCGAATCAATTATTGTAATAATATTTTTTATCCTTTCGAGCGTGTAAACGATCATTAAATTGTTCATTACAAGCAAATATTTCCCGTCTCCGTTGTTAATAATAAATAATATATAGGTATTATTTTAACCATTGTCTCATTACCACACATCACATGTCAATCTACTCAATGCTGTAATGTAGACTTAAAATGTACCTAGTCATTGCAAAAACTGGTCACTAATGTTACAGTGTTACAAAATTATTACTTCCTATTGCGGACGTGTTCAATTTAATGATAGTCCATTCCGTACAAAAAACGATTCTAAATATAAACGATATACTGCCAGCCACTATACCTATGGATATTTTATATTTTTTTTCCAATACTAATATAGTGGGTTGAACTAATTTTCATCAAAAACATTGAGTAAAATCCGTATAATTAATTATCATTACAAATATAGTATTATATGGTATTATATTATTGCTATTAATTTATAAGTCAATAACGACGTATCATATAATAGTGTGAATATATACGTGATTTAAAGGCTTAGATTAGTTTTTAATAATTAATAGCGAAATATTTCAAGCTTTTATGATTAATCCGATTTAATTTTTTTTTAATTTAACGAAATAACAAAAATCGTTTGTGTTAACATTTTTTATTTTTTGCTTAAGTCTTTACGATTGTTTACTACTTGAATTATGACAAAAAACAAAATTTGACTGTTGAAAACAAGTGTTACGTAAATATTCCCATTTTATTATATATTTTTTGACCTTCAAAAGTACCAACTGATCCAATTCGTTACGAAAACAACCCCTGGAGTTTGAAATTTCTATTTTTACTTGCTCTAAAGGTGACGTAAGACATACCTACACAAAAAAAATCTCACACATAAAACCAATTTTTAAGAATATTAACCCTCAAAATACAATTGATTTTATGCGACTAACGCAATGTCATTGTACTAAACTCTATACCTAGTACATAAGTACCTGCTCCAAACTCTTAGATCATAATATTATGTACTACAATTGTACATCATGATCTGAGGACTTAAGCTCAAACATTTGTTTATTACAATAAAACACCATACGTAACATGAACAATAGGAGTGTGGGACAAAAAAAAAAGGTAAATCGTCTTTGGGAAAATATAATTTAATCCACAACCGTACGGACTTCAGACACAGCGGGCATCGGGACACCATAATATAACAACTCATAAAAAAAAAATAAATAAACTACACATAATATAAATATGGGCTTTACGTGTATCAAATACGTGTTATTGTAAGGATGGGTTTCTCACGCACGCGCGTACGTATATACAAACATATAAATGACCCAATAAACCTTGAATTACGAGGTTTATGTGTACTATAACGATATATTCACAGTACTGTACAAGACATATAATTTTGCGTGAACCCAGTCTTACGATGTTCACAATATACTGTATCTGGGTCTTACGCTATCTTTGATTGTAAAAAGTATCGACAAATATTATGAAAACTTTGTGACATCATTGCTCGGTATGTGGAGAGAGAGAAAAAGAAAAAAATCTACGTGACTGCACACAACACTCCGCGTCGGACAACGAATGGAATTTTTCACGTTTTTCGGCGGGAAACCTCGAGGTTCCAAAGCGAACACGATCGGTGTTCAGGTGGCGGATGACTCGGGTTTTTCGAGAGACTACTGAGAATCCTACCGTACATTGTGTGCACTGCACTGGCCGCAATCGGATACGCTCTGAGACATGCCTCTACCCAGGACGATTTTACGCACGATAATTAATCGCGTTTGGTTTATGAGTTCCTCGGAAGAGATCTCCTCGTTTTTTGAATAATATACATATATTATATACATTTATTGGTCTACGGTCGTGCAACACGTGTTGTGAT